CATTTCGAATATGAAAAACATGACGTTACAGGATACGCTGACTTTAGAAACGCTGGACCCAGAGGAAGTTTTGAAGAGGGCTATAAAATTTGAACATAGCAAATTGACTACAATGGCATTTCAAAAGACAAACGCAGCAGCAACAGGAGGAACAAGTAACAACTATAACTCTGGAGTGAGAATAAAACAAGAACCAGTGGTGGCAGTCAGGAACAGGAAGCACAAAAAAACCAACAATATAACAAGAAGGAAACGAAAAAAATGACAAAATATCAACAGAAATTCTAACACGAAAGCAAAACCATGTAACAGATGTGGAAGATTATTCGATCAAGGACATCTAAAAACTGTTCCGCAATGGGCAAAACTTGTAAGAATTGAGGAAAACCCAATCACTTTGCAAAAGTGTGTAGATCTCAGCAAGTGAGTGAGGTTGCGGAAGAATCTGAAGGATCCGTAGAGGAATGTGATCAGATAAGAGAAAGTTTTGGTTCATGTAGTGATTTTGAAGTGATGTCGATACAAAAACATCAGCCGGAGAACGAAAGAATCTCGAAATATATGAGGGGCAGAATCAGTGAAAGCAAGAAGAAGTCAAATGGAGAGACGATACAAGTCCAAAAAATCGATTCAATCCGAGACCCAAAGTTGAATAGAGTGAAATCACTAAAGGCCATGGTAAGAATAGACAATCAAATAATACAACTGACGGTAGAAACTGGAAGTCCAGTCTCTTTCTTAAATCGGGCGACGGCAAAAGAAATAATAGATAAATCAAACAAGGAAAGATTCATCCCGTCTGAAAAATTGAACTTGACTACAAAATTTGTCGACTACAACAAACAACCGATCTGAGTATTGGGGACATTGAAGACGAATCTTCGGTCGGCAGGCTGGGAGGTGAAAGGAGCTACATTCCTGGTGACGGAACGTAAAACCAGATGAATAATGGGATTGGATTTACAAGGACATGTGGGGTTAGTCACTACACAAAAACCAGCTCCAAAAGAACTATCCAGGTTTGACCTGCTCATGTGCGAGCAGTCGGAAGGTTGGAAAAATAAATTCTTCAATAAGATCAAAATTTTTTCGAGACATGGAATTTCAAAAAATCACATTGTAAGTTCAAAATTCAAGTACCCCCTATGTTCGATTCAAGAAAAGGGGAGAAGAATTCTAACTCATAAACAGGATAAGGTAGAGAAAGAAAATGAAAAATTGTTGACAGAAGGTCACATCACAAAGTTAGACAAATGTACAAGCGATTGTTTCATAGCCCCAATTGTAATAACGGTAAAAAAGGACGACTCGATAAAATTGGCGATGGACGCCAAACCAATAAACAGACAATTGTTCAAAAATAAGTACCAAGTACCTCATCGATGGGTAAGTCAAATCGTTACCGAAAACAAAATTGGCACACTCTATTTCACAGTGTTAGACTTAAAATACGCGTATGGTCAGCTAAAATTGGCTGCAGACACAGCTAAGCAGTGTAACTTTAATATTGTTGGTGGAAAGGCTACTGCGACATATAGATTCCTTACAGGATTTCATGGATTAGCAGACTTGCCAGCTGAATTCCAAAAAGCCATGGACAGAACTATCAACCACGTAAAGAACACATTTTGATTTCTGGATGACATTCTTATCGTGTCGAAGGGTAATGAAATTGAACATGAAAAATTGGTGGAAACGGTACTTAAGCAATTGAATGATGAAAATCTCGCATTGAAAATCTCGAAATGTGAATTTTTCAAACAACAGGTGAATTGGCTGGGACATCACCCTTCAGAATCAGGAGTTAGTCCACATTTGGTTAGACAAACAACATTTGGAACAATCGGCATTGACGGCATCTCAATAAAAACGAAGAATTGACCAATCCCGGGAGAATCTGAAGATAGTCAGAAAGGGGAACTCAGCAGGGACACCAGTCCGCTGCACAAGCAGCAAGTGCATTCAGACAGGGATCGTCAAAAAGCAAAAGCACACAAAGAATTGCTGGAGGTGAACGCTCATTGGAGTCAGGAAAGGAGATATGCTGCGAAAAACGACATACGGCGAATTGTTGACGAAACGGGATTATCGAACCCAGAGCTACGAAAAGAGATGATATACTCCTGTGAGACGGGGTTCATAGAAGACAAAGAAAAGGAAAACACGCAGTCTCCACAGAAAACGATTCTGAGAAAGCACCCGTTACGGAAGAGCGGACAAGCGCTGTCGAAACAGTTGAAGGGGAAAATAACGGCAGAAACGGATTCGATGGTCAAGACGTCAACGGGATCTATCTACAGGAAATCGGACATCACTCAAGCGAAAACGTTTCTACCACACGAGAAAACGCGGAGCGGCAGAACCAAATAAGCAATTCCTAAGAATCAGGTCCCCTGAAGTTCTAGAGGACATTGAGTCGGATGAAGAATTACGTCGGGCCGTGGAAATGGCCGATTTCGTAAACTCGGTGGATCGGTTTCAGCAAAGCCAAACTTTTGTAACCTCAAAGGATACGGTGGCTGGAGGGAGTCTAAGCTTAGCTATCAAAGCTGCGAAGCCAAATACAGCGGGTCCCGGTTCGATGTCGAGACCAAAAACCCAGGAAGAGATCGTTCTGAAGAAGTGTGAAAAGAAGACAAAGGAAAAAAAATCAGACGACAAACAGAGTAAACTGCCAAGACAAACTGCTATCGCAGTTGACCAGCGCAATGAACAATCAACGTCAATGTTGGATGACTCGAATAAAGACGTTCACACGAGCTCTACCCCGAAAAACAAACAAAAGGCCATTATAAAGACAATCGATTCTCAAACACGTCCGGAGGATATCGTAGACACATTTCAAAACCGGAATTTGGCCCGGCTGAGTGGGAGAATCTTGCAGACCAACTTCTAAAAAGGGGGGTCCAAAAAGTTGCGGATGACCTCAGAGGGAATGTCCAACCAGCATCTGAAAGGGACACAATATTTGAGTCTCCTCAAGGGGTTTCGGATGATTCTAGCGCCGAGGATTCCGGAGTAAGAAGAAGTTCTAGACAAACCAACAGTAAAGAGCCTAAGCGATTCGGAGACCCAGTAAAACACTCCATCAACGAAGTTTTGGAGGAGCTATCAGGGGGAGCACTACTCAAGGCAGCACTCCAGGAATACCGGAAGAGACTAACAGACTTCCAAGAACGAAGTGATAGGCCCGTAGAGTCGAAATTACGTATACTAGAGGGACATTTGTTTCGGAGAAAATTCGGTTATGCAACATTGGACAAAAGAACGTATTGGAATCCTTGCTGGACAATAGACTTCGAAGAAAACTAAGAATTGAAAATCCAAATGACTAATCTTTCAAAATCAAAAACTATCTGTGAACTGAGTGTATCAAATTCTTTTTAACATAAATTATTTCATATACTGAAAAATTTATTTTCCTCTCGAAACGGGTATGTCATACTGCTACTGCAATAGCAGTAATTAAATTATGCAATACCAACCTTCAGTGGTGTTATTATTATTATGATGTGTCCAAGGTCATGTGTCATGTGTGCAGTGACATTGACACACAGCTGAGAACTCAGAGTTTTGATTCTGCTGTATCGCTCTCAGTAACTAACTTTAGAAAAAGAAAAGAAAACTAAATTCAATTAATTCAGAATACATTATTGAATTTACCACTAGTTCATCCAGATAAAAACAAATTCAACTCTTTGTTATGATTTGAAAACTGACCTAGGTAAAAATCTAGGCCTAAATATATACACTTTAATCACGGAACTTTAAATGATTTGCAGTTGCGGGATTTTTTTTTCTGAAAACTTGGCTAAAAGCTGATGAAAAACAAGACAACCAAGATTCAAGCAACAAATTGTTTGAGCTAATTTGAGGCAAAATGAATTGCTACTTTTAAAGAATCAAAATGGTCTTGGAAATAGAAACACGAATGTCTTAGAGAATGTACCACCATCCTAATGTACCACCAACCAAATTTGCCTACTTCTATCAATATAAAAAATATATTCAGCTGACTAATGAAAACCCCTCAAGTAGCAATCATGAAAAAAACATTTGAAGCTAATGAAAGTTATATTTTTAAACCAAAGTTAAGAAATGGGTGAAAACGTTTCTTCATGTTTGTGCAGATTGTTGTACAGTTTACTTAGAAAAATTTTGTACTTTGTGGGCAGCAAACTGCGGCAATGAAACTTTTTATCAACATGTGTTTTTCCTTTGCAATTTGCTCGTTGTTTTTGTTTCAGCATTTTCCATTTTTTTTATAGTTTCTTTAATGATTTTTCAGCACCAAGATATACTTTCAGGTTTCACTACTACGCCAAAAAGCTAAATTGTGGAACAAGTTCTTAGGCACTGAAAATTTTTGTGGCAGTTTCTTCATACTATTCGATGCATCGACTGAAAGTATTTCATTTGAAAGCATCACTCGGCCGATTCCACCCACAATTGCCTTTGATACTTAATCTTTTGTTCGAAAAAAAAAACTGAAAACTTGAAACTGAAACCCATCCGAATGTACTGATCCTTCTCACCTCGCGATCGGAACAAACAAATGAACAATTTCCTTCTCAATGAAGCTGTCACGATGAAAATTTGCGAAATTGACTGAAAAAAATGGTGAATACTACAAATACAACTGCCGGATTTTTTTGCGTTCCAGCACTTCTATCGATGTAGTGACCTTCTCTTTGAACGCATCGATGTTCTAGTTGTATTGTACTAAAGAGAGGTTGCTTGAGAAATTTTTAGACTACATAATGTGTTTTCGATACTGAATATGTACAAAAATTTTTTCATAATTGAGGTACAGTTTCTGCAGCAAGTTTTAAAACTATTTGAATATGATTTTGAGATTTTTGTTGTCGGAAAAGGTCTTATCTTACGACTTTTTTTTATGAGAAACACTAAAAAATAATTCAAATGCGTTTTTTTTTAAGTTCAGTGTTTTCAAAACATTAAGCTATGTTGAAAAAATCACTTTTCAAAAATTTGTCAGAAGGTTGTAAGATAAGAAGCTCTAAGATAAAGGAACTTGTTGTTGGATGGCCAACCAGGGCAAATAAACGAAAACAACAATTGAAACAATTCTCTTCAGCCGACACCATTTGAAAAATGCATATTATACATTTATTTTACAATTAGGAATAAAAAAGCTCGGCATAATTATGATAATTATAGGAAATAAAAGAATATGAAGTGATTCGTTCTTCATTTTAAAGGGTTAAAAATATATCGATAAAAGCAAATTATCTGTTGTTATCCATACCTCTCTTCACACTTTCTCCAATGGTTCAGAAAATCAAACGGCCATAATTATAAAAACAGCGCAAGCTCAATGGTAAAAAGTATGCATTTATTTTAGCCCTTTTTTACAATTGGTGATTTTTTTTGAAGATATCTCACAAAATTTTCTGAGAGATGCCTCGATAAGCGGTTTAGCTTTTTGCACGATCCTTGGTGAATTTGTCTGTTAGAAGCAGTTTTGCTAGCTCTCTGTTAAATAAATATGTATAAACTTGCAAGTCTGCCTCGATAACTCAAGGTCTATGTGTTGACATTCACGTCTACTTTCTTTTCTGCTGCCGTCTCGAAGTACATAAAGTCCTGAAACATATTTGAACATTTTGTCAAAATAGTTTCATACGTTATGTTTTTTTTTCTTTCCGAAGTCATTAAATAAAAAGAAAGAGTGAAGTGATCGAGAGTCGATAAGATTCTTTTGCAAACCTTATCCAGTTTTTAATTTAAAAAATTTGCGTATTTGACTTTGAGAAGCGCATTGCCCTAAAAAATTAGTAATTATTTGTAAAATTTAGGATTGGACAAACAAAAACATCCCTCTGGAACTCCCCCCGTTTTTCAAACTAAATGACAATGTCGGTCGCAGACACCTGAAGTTTTGCAACTCCCCCCGGATTTTCAAACTCCAGCAACTTCCCCAGTTTTTAACGGTAGAGTAACGAAAAATTGAAAGTATGTTTGAAGTAACATTTAAAAAAAAGAATAGTCAACTTACAATCAGGAACACCATTGAGAGAAGAATGGCCTTCACACGCACGTCCAGATCTTTGGGGACTGAAAAAGAAGGTTTGGCGTTGACTTTTACAATTCGCGCACTTTTAAATCAGCTGCCAGACTCCAAAGTTCCGGTAAAAGGTTGCTGTCAATATCAACTATGGAAACAATTTTATTTAATTAAATAATCGAACCTTCTCTTTTTAAATTTAACGCGCATTTTAAATTTAAAGTATGTAAGCAAATTTGCAACCACCCCCCCCCCCCTTCAATCCCGTATTAGGACCAAAAGTTCACCAGTTTAATCACCAAAATGTATATTTTGGAGCAAATCAAAATCACCCTTTTTTGCACAAAAATTTGCGCAAAACTTAGGGAAAATGAATGAAGTTTTTCATGACAAAACTAATTTAGCCTAACTACATTCACTCATATAAAAATTTTATTTTTCCTCTTTCCCTAAATAGAAATCTCTATGATGTTTCTAGATATATTTTTTCTAGCATTATTTCTACGTTTTTTGTTCAATTTGAACTTGAAATTATTCAGAAAAAACTTATCTGCGGATTGATATTTAGTTATTTGATTGAAAAATTAGAATAACTCTAAATTACAAAAACAAGGTTTGCTGGTTTTTGATTGGCGATAGTTCACTTGCTATCTATTTGAAGGGGAGGGGACTTGTTTCCTTTTCCTTCTCTTCGGCCGTTTAGCGGGGAGGGGGGGGGGCGTTGCTTAACTAACATGTGAGGGAGAAGTTGTCGGCGTCAGTGAATGTCTCTTTGATGACCCCACTGAACTGTTTCTTTATCTGTCCGATCTCCTCCCCCGTCGCGTCAGAGTAGATCTGAAAAGAAAGCCGGCCGCGATGGTCTCGGGTGTCGAAGTAACTGTCCTGATTGTGATTTTGATTGAAAAAACGAAATTATTCCGAAATTGATTTTCATCTGTTACTATTGTATAGAAACACATTCAAAGTGATTTTGGCAATTTTTTGAAATTTGATTAAAAAAATTTGCTACCATAGAAACTTTTTCTTATAAGAATTTTGTAAGATAGCGGAAATTTCCTACAAGTACTATAGGAAGTTCTAAGACAGAGAAGTATTTTGTTGGATGATCAACTCGGTCCCTGACAAATCCCGATTTGGCGAGTTTCTGATTATCTATCTATACTTCAACTTCTTTTCATGGCAGAATTCAGAATTGTCTATAACCGTGGAACTTCCAGAGTGTTTTCAAAATTACCCATATACGTATTCTTGTACAATACTTGAAAACGTTATGCTTACACAATTAATAGACTCAATGACAGATTTTTTTTTGGGGGGGGGGGGTTGGTGTTTGTGGACAGTTTTTTTGGTACCAATTTGGCACCAAAACACGCTGAAACTGAGGATGCGCTCTATCGATTCGATTTTTGGTCAATTCTTTCCAGAAAATGCCAGACAAAATTGATATGAACGGACTGTTTCTTTCAAAAATGCAGTTCGACACCTGCAGTGCAAAGCCTTATTCGGTTTGCAAGAGCTCGTATATTTAATGCGGTCGACCTAAATATTGGTCGACTAAAACAATGCAGATTTAAAAGTTTTTTTGTCATATGAGAAGGTTTATATTTTCATTTCAATTGGAGTATTGCTAACTGGGACCATGTGAACTATCCCCCCATGAAAATAGGGAGGGGGGTAGTTTACTTGATTAAAAGAAGTAAAGAAGTTTGACTTGAGAATAATACATGCAGGCTTAACTTCTTGAAATGTTTATTTATTTTTAGGGGGAGATTGTTCACTTGGTCAATTTGCGGGGGAGGTTGTTCACTTATTCACATGGGCCATACTAAGGCTCCTTTTCCTTCCCCCACCTCACACGAACATGGGTCGTATGGTGTAACAAGTGGTTTTACAAGGTTAATTATGAAGACTAAATATGTTTGTCATAACCTACCCGCATCCAGTTTCAAGCAATGGTAATCGATTATAATTTGACTTCAGTACCAGTCTTAGAAAAATTGAGAAAAATGATTTTAATTAAATCATAATTGATTATAATCACTTTTTTTGAAATCAAATATAATCAATTTTATTACATTATAATCTATTATAATCGATTATTTTTATCAGAATTTCTAATTTATTTATTTTGCAGAAAAAAAATCCACTATAATTGATTATAATTGCTTATAATCCCTATTGTTGCCCATTTTGTTTTCGACCTTCCACCAGAATTGCTTATATTTTATGCTTCTTGTAGACGTTGGTTTATGCGAAAGTGGGAAAAATGTTTTAAAATTTTTCAAATCATTTCAAATTTATTACGTCTTTTTTTATTTCTTCTTGATTATAATTGTTTCATGATGCACGTTTTAAGTTTTTTTGACCACCAAAATATCAGCACACTGCTTTAGTTTCATGATTTATGTAGAAGACTTAAATTTCACCTACCGCGGGATTCTTTCAAGTAAAATGAAGAGATCACTAAAAAACTTTTGTTTCGTGGTAAAACTTTGTGCTCAGGTGAACCAAAGAGTAACAAGACATCTCAATTTTAAAATCTTTTGATAGAAAAAAGGATTATAACCTATTAGAATAGATTATAATTGATTATGCGCGATTTTCGGAAAGACTATAATCAATTATATTTGATTATAATTTATTATAGAGTCACAAAAATGTAATCAATATAATGGATTATAAATCGTTTAAACAGCTAAATTTGGCGCTTATAATTAATTATAGTTTTGATAAAAGTACCATTAGAATTGTAAAATGATCGATTATTTTTTCTTTTTATTGAGTGTGGGTAATTAGTCCGTAGGTGTTAATTTTCGAACAATGTGAACAAAATCTTTATTTCAAAGTTTTGCAGGTGGGGGGAAAAGGAAAAAAACCCTATACTAACTGTGAATTTGACGTCCAGACATACACACATTCCCCTGTCGATGCAGAGGGGTCCCTTCACATAGGCTATCTCTTCATCATCCAGTAACACCCCAAACGAGGACCGCAACACTCCGCATCTACAATCGAATACAGCCAGGGTGACATTTCGTAACAGGCGACAATTCGTAGCAGGCGACCGATCGTAACAAAGTATTGGCAAGTAAAATACGATTGCTCCGGTACTTTCGGAAATACGAATGCATATTCACAGGAGAGAAATAGTTCGCATAAATTGCCGCTTAAAAGTTTATTAAGAATTATTACGTATTACGAATTCTCGCCTGTTACGAATTATTGCTTCAGGTAACATACAAACAAACACAACAGTTGAAATTGGCCGGGTTGAAGTTGCATAGCAACTCGGAAATGTATCATTGTTATTGCATTGTTTTGACATGTTTCAGGAATGTACCAGCACAAATACATCAATTTACTCTGTTTTAACAATGTTTATTCTTTTACCTTTAATTATTAAAAAAATTGATGTGAATTGTTTGATCTAAACCATGTTTGATCTAAATTTCAATTTTTACCAAATTTCGATTTATTTCCAAAGTTTTGTCACGCGTCGCTACATTTGATAAAATAGCCTCAGAGTAAAAAAAGGCTAAAAATTACAAAACAATCGGTTAAAAAGAGAATAAAACATCAAGATAATTTGCATCCCTTTTTTATGGATGAATCAGAAAAATCACATCTATGTTTCAGCCATGATTCATGGATGAAACATCTGTTCAATCTTCATCCATGTTTCATGGATGAATCATAGAACTGACATCCATGTTTCAGTCATGATTCGTCAATAAAACATCCATGTAATTTGCATACATGTTTCATAGATGAAACATGGATGAACATCGTTGAAGTGGCATTGCAACATGAATGATACATCGATGCAAAAAAATGAATGTTCTATGATACATTGCTGAATTGCAATGCAACTTCAACCCGGGTGCTAATAAATTTTAACATTCCACCGTAATAAATTTGAACAAAAGTACTGGTTGGAGGCAGTACAAAAAAGCCGAAAAACATAAATTTTGTTCAACAGTGCCGTTAATTGACTTTCGGCACTCTTGAACTTTTTTTTTTGAAGTGGCATCTATTTGTTTAATGTTTAGATATTTTAATGTGACATCGATGAAACATCTATGTCACAACCATGTTTGAACTAAGTTTCAATTTTTACAAAATTTTGTTTTGTTTCCAAAGTTTTGTCACACGTCGCTACATTTGATAAAAAAGCCTTAGAGCAAAAAATGCTAGAAATTACAAAATAGTCGTTTCTATGCAACAAAATAAAAAGACAACTTCACAGGGTAATGATTTTCATGAGATAATTACAAATTTTTGTGCGCAAAATCTTGTTTATGTTCGTGATTTTCATGAGATTATTGAATTCTTTTGTGCCCAAATCTTGCTAATTTTGATGGTTTTCATGAGATAATTGAGTTTTTTGTGTAAAAATCTTGTTTTTAATGATGGTTCTCATGATTTGTGTCGTTTAATAGGAGTTCATATTTTGAATTCAACTTTTAAATTCAATAGCATTTTCCAGGGATGCATATGGATAAAAAAGGAATAAAACATCAAGATAATTTGCATCCCTTTTTTATGGATGAATCAGAAAAATCACATCTATGTTTCAGCCATGACTCATGGATGAAACATCTGTTCAATCTTCATCCATGTTTCATGGAGGAATCATAGAACTGACATCCATGTTTCAGTCATGATTCATCGATAAAACATCCATGTAATTTGCATACATGTTTCATAGGTGAAACATGGATGAACATCGTTATAGTGGCATTGCAACATGAATGCTACATCGATGCAAAAAAAAATGAAACTTCTATGATATTTAACATTCCACCGTAAAGAATTTGAACAAAATTATTGGTTGGAGGCAGTACAACAGTGCCGAAAAACATAAGTGTTCTTCAACAGTGCCGTTAATCGACTTTCGGCACTCTTGAACTTTTCTTTGAGTTTTGCCACTTCTTTACTTCGGCACATCTGAACTTCGGCACTGATGAAACCCTCGGTCAGAGGAGATTGTTGAACTGCAGAAAATTGGTCCAATCTAATTCTCTAGACAGAAAGACTGAAAGAGCTAAAATTTTGAGCAAGTCAGCGTCTTTTAAACCTTTCAAAACTGATTGTCAAGCTCATTCTTTTCAGATTTTTAATTATTATAAATTGATTGGCCAATTTTTTCCTATTGCGGTTGGTTATTTTGCCCTGAGGAATTCTCAAAGCAATCACTGTGAAAAATAGAACAACACAAGACATAAAATAGATTAAGATGGTTATTTTCATTCAGCACTATAGTAACTTGTTCAACACAAAATGCTATAAAAATCCATTTAATCGCAAAAACATGCGTGAAAAACCTTTCAACTCAATAACTTAGATAATCAGAATCGGCGAAATGCAAAAAAAATCATTTCAATATACCCAATACTTGTGAAGCGTGAAAGGATTTGTAGAAAAAACACGTTTTCAAAACACCCTCCATGTACACTGATCAACGTGTTGTTGAGCAAAAAGCGTATCGAACTGACAAAAAATGGATGGCAATCAATTTCATACAAACAATGTAGCAAATACTTACGAAAAATTGATATGAATCAATTCAAAATTAGTTTGATACAAACTGGAGATACATTTTTTGGGTTCTTTTTTCGTTTATTTTTTTATCTAGATTTTTGTAGCAAAAAAATTCAATTTGAATCAATTTTTATCCATTCTTTGCCATAATCAATTTTTCGAGTTGTTTCTCGAAAGTCAAACAATAGTTGACTCGTTTTGCCTCGACGCCAACAAATTTACCATCTTCTTTTTTCTAATCCAAATCAAGGTTGAGTGTCAAGAAACTTTTTATGGTACTTACCAATTGCATTTGAAAGAAAAAGATTGATTTGAGTTTTGTATGTAATCAGAAGGGAAAAAAAGCAAAACTTATGATGCTTGTTTATGAGACATTTAACAAGATAAAGAAAGACCTTCAACAATGACAATATGAAACAAATTTCATTTCAGATTGGAAACAATAGATGAACAGTTCATTATTTACCTTGCGTGAGCCTGCTTGTAACAGAAATAAGGTGCTGAAAAAATCAAAAAACCTTTAGAAATACGGGTTGTTGTAAAAAAACCATGATAATAAAATTTTGGCATGTTTTCACAAATAAAAATGAATTAAAGTTGACTTTGAGTTCTCAAAGAGTCGCAAAAATTACAAATTTATCTTTTTCTTATTTATTCAATAACAAAAGTGTGCAGTGAAATCATCGTAATGCAAAAACCGTGATTTATGCGAGTCTACACATTTGGAGGGTAATATAAAGCAACACGATTTTCATTTGTAACAGATACAAGATCAAACAAAGTTTGCCGCATGCTGTGAAAGTAGCACAGATTGTTCCGACCATTTTGATAGAAACTACAAACATACGGTTTGTATACGGCGTGATGAGAAAAATATAGAAGCGTGTATAGATTTAGTGAATTAGACATAATTGACATCGTTTGTCCAAAAAATTTAAAAAAAAATGAAAAAACTCTCAAAAGTCTCAAGGTATTTTTCGGAAAATTTGTTTGCCTAGGAATTTCCTAAAAGTTTTTTTTTTACTGTTTTTACTAAAGTAGAGTTTCCTTAGGTTTAAAATTTCAGGTACTCGATTGTTTTAGTCTTTTGAAGCTAGACTGAAACTCAAAAATTTTAAATCGGTTTTTCTCGACATTGGGAGAACTTTTGAAAAATTTTAAATATCGTAAGAATCAATTCAATCGACCAATGATTGCGTGTGTTTAAAACTCGACCCCCAGCCGACCCAAGAGGTCTTCCTTTTGTACTATTTTGAGATATCCATTTTTGTTGACGGACCCTAAAATTTTTCTGAGGGGGAAGCGCGCGCCGAAAAAACGCAATTATTTTGGTCAAAATGTTCTAAAAATAGCCTAAAAACGTCTTTTATGGCCTGTTTTTTCAAAATTTTGCCTGCGGCGCACAAAATTTGGTAAAAATGGAGCCTCTATAGTGATTTAGGAGAGCTCAGAAAAAATCAATTTGGTCAACCTGAAATAAAGGTCCACAAAATTTTAGAATTTTTTCAAAAATCTCCCCTAGAGAAAATCCTAGATCTACCCCTGGATACTACCATATAATAATTAGTCTTAAAATTAAAAGGAGAAATTATAATTACTTAGTACTTAAGAGCAATAATTAGAAGATTATAATGGAACTAATAGTAAAAGTTACAATATCAAAAAGTGTACATATCAACTGAAGAAAAATCAAAATGAGAGGGGGGATTACCTGTTGTGTATTCTGCCGATGGGCACTCCGGGGGGACTCTCGACTGTGACTTCATGTTGACAGAGGCCACAGCACGGCAGCCAGCAGCAAGACTGGGCACAACAGTTAAAGCTGCGTCGCACGTGGATCACCTCCTGAAATTATTTCCATCACCTTCATAGGAACAAGTTATCAACCCCAGTTATTGCAGTTATCTCTTAGAGTTGAATGTTTTTCAGTGAAAAACTCATTTTTTTTTAAAAAAAAGTAACTTTACGCACGTTTTTTTTCTTATTCACGTTTTTTATGGATTTCTCGAAAAAGGGGGTGTGTTTCTCGTGCGGGTTGGGCGAGGGAGGGGGGGGGGGGTTAAGGGCGGTGATTGAACGTTAAGTTTGAGAAGTTGAAGGAGAAAATTGAAAATTAGGGCAGGAGTTTGAGGTATAAAGGACACAGCCTAAGTTTCAGACAAACTTTTGCTAAAAATTAGGCTGTAAACTTTTCGGCACTAAATATCAAATAGCAAAGTAACACTTTTTTGCAGAAAAAAAAATCAAACTTTGCGGTTTTTAATTAGAAAAACAAGTCGATTATGATGATATCAAAAACAGATTATAATCGACTATAAAGCATTTTATTTAATGTTTTAGATCTTAAAAAGTCTTGGATTTAGTCATCTGGGACGAGGTCGCTATCTTTTATTTTCGTTTATCTCATGATCAAAAAAGAAATCAGAAACTTTTAGTGTTTGAATCTTTGTTGGCCATTAGATGGGTGGAAAATTTTCTCTGAGATTTAACAAAATAGAATTTCCGAAAG